CTGACTATGAAAGTAGAGTAAGTATTGGTAATTAAGTGTTCATAATTTGATGTCCAGAATTCAAACTTTCATCTACCTTAAACTTTCCTGGAGAACCAAAACTGCAAAATTGTTTTTTTCAAGAACCAAACAGAAGAAACAGATTAGCCAAATCAGAATGGTGGAAAAACTAAATTATACTGTGAGAAGAGAATGGATTCACATCACTGAAATACGCCTTTGTATTTTATCATCAGCATGCTCAGCTGGAAGCGTTGAAAACATGTCACAATTCACAAATAGACTTCTCAACTCCAAAAATAATGTATTTGTATTAACAAACTAGCTAACTTACTAAATGACACTCCAAGTAAACAGTCTATTTTAACACAAACTGAAATTCATTAATTTACAAAATACCACAATAAAACGTTTTAAAAGCACGCTAGCAACACTTGTCTCAAAATTCTACATTTTTCTGATGTATATCTGTTAATACATGTTCCCTCATTCATACATCTTTTAAGTTCCTGTCAAAGCAAATGCTTGGTGACCCTGAAAATCACGCAGAGATTCCAACAACAGAAAACCTTAGTTCAGTCCTTCAACATTAGATTCTCAGCAACAATATTTTAATTAAAAATACTGAAGTCCTTTAAAATACTGATTTGTCCTTTCCTAACAACAACTTTTTGTCCTTTTCCTGATCTTAGCTCAGTTACCAAAGGAAGCAGAAGCTGATGAGATTACGCACTCTGTCAGTCTGTACGTCCTTCCCTAGCAAGTCCCAAATGGCTGGGCAAACACACCGTGACGGAGAAAAGACCAGGCACCGTCCCATGGAATGTCTGAATCTAGTCTACTGAATAAAAGCGAGGCATCCTTGTCCATCCCCAAAACCAAGAGTTCTTATTGAAGGAAAGACAGTAATTTGAGTCAAGCTTCAAGCCAGTCAGTACGCATTCACATAGGGACTGGTTCCCCCCCATAGCTGGCCCAGAAGCGGGCAGCCTGCTGCCCAGCCAGCAGTCACAGCACAGCCAGGAGCTGGAAACACCCCATGGACCATGGTAGGACACTACATGTGGTGGTCCCAGGCAGGGGGAAGAGGAAGAGCTGAGATTTCAGCGGCGGAAGGACACACAATACAAATCCACAGGAAGGCAGGCTTCAGCAGGGGGTTTTGCCCACGGACAAACTATTTTCCAAGTGATACAACAGACCGAGAGAAACCACAACTCCCAGGACGACAGCAACAAGCTTAAGAATCAGACACCCTTATGTATATTTTCCTCCCTGTAAATTCAAGCAGCTGGGGGAAGGGGTGGTAACCAACCACTAGGTCTGCCCATATACTTTGAAGTATCACTGGAAACACAATGAAAACATCAGACTGGTTAGCAGTTTTCTGATCTTTTTACTACTTCTCATGGCAAGAGCACAAAAGCAAGTAACGAGGGTCATTCCTACAGGCTTTGTTGCACTGCAGATAATTGTACAAAAATAGTACGACTCAAACAGCAACGGTCTAAAACCAGATGTTGGTATTTTCCCATTTCCCTTAAAATCTGATACATGAAATTACTTAAACGTGCATTTAAGATTATAGCTATATAGCAGATTTTGCCAGGCCTGAACCCAAGGCTTCAACCACGGGATTTCATCATCTGCTGTTGCTGAGTCTTAAGTAAAGGAAAGGTAGTGACAGCTGAAGGGTAAGGAACAGCTTCTTGCAGCTGCCAAGGCTTCATGCTGAAAGTTGCTGCCTCCACACCGAGATAGATGCCTTCGCAAGTGCTGCACCTGCAGCCAAGTCAGACACCCCAGCTTTAACCGTTACTGCCACTTGCCTCTGCTCCCTTCCCAGTACTAACAAATTTGTTAGCATTTCCTGATATTCTTCAGGAACAGTCGAAGGGATTATCAGAAATCAGAAGGAGATGTAAGTATCCCAGCCCAAATTCCTGTACAGTTTCTTTCTTCTTCTTTCATCCATATTGCATGCAGGAGGAAACTCAGGCTTTGCTAAAAGGTCTGGATCTCCTTTGACGTGAGGCTACCTGAGCGCTTCAAGCTGCAAGCCTGAAGACATACCCAAATTCCTACCTTTAAATTAATGCCCATGTGGTTTTTGTTCGGTGAAAGACCCTAGCCAGAACATCCAACAACTTAAGAATATTTCTCCAATCCAAATATAAATATGCCAAAACTATTCTTAAATGAGTAACAGAAATTTCAAAAAGCTTCCTGATTCTAGCTAAAAATAAAACAAATATTTTATTTAGAAATATATGGGCTTTTGAAATCTTCAGAGTTTGCCAAACTATTCAATTTCTCATACTCAGGCACAGAGATAAAAACTCATCAGGGCTGAGATGATCACAGGAAGAACCTGGCACAGGCTGCTCTCTTTCATATGCCCTCATGGTTTTTCTGCCAAAAATAAACACATCTGATCACAAATGCTAACTACTATACATTTTTCATTTAAAGGCAACGACCTTCTCTGCTCCAGTGTGCAACATTTTATTATCATTGTGCAGTACCAAGTTAGTTTAATTAGTTAGCAGGATCAGAAAGCTAATAATTCCATTTGACCATTTGGATCCATTTGACCTGACAGAGCTACTCTTGTTCCATTAAATACTCTAAGTTTACAGATACATAATTCTGTCTCTAATCACACCAGTAAAGTGATAACCTAGTAAGTACACAGATGTAGTTAATCTCTAGTAAAAATGATAAAATTAGTGTCACGGGAGTATAGTGTGCACATGTACAAAACTATCCCCAAGCAACTACTTGGAATACACATAATTTTTTGGTTTCCATTAGTCTGAATGTGAGCTTCAGTTCTTTCATTGCTAACAGAAACACACCCCTGAAATGTAGCCAGAAAATTACAGCTTCATGGTGCATAAACCCCAGGCAAGAATACTGTGAAATATTTTTACTATGCAAATAATTATATCAACTATCAATTTCATCAAGTGTCCCTACTGCTGAAGACTATACTACTAATAATAAACAGCAACAGAAGCAAGCACAGAATAAATCTATTTGAAAATCAAATTTGTTTGATGCACATTCCTCCTCAATTATTTTAGAACATTAAAACCTCAAAAATATTCATATAAGCACTCTAATAAACTTACTCAGTGAAAGTTCATTAACCTTATTATTAGGTTTGAAGTTTATATTGCAGAGCACAGTCTTACTGTGCATACTTCAGAACTGACAGACTGTGTCTGTAGAAGGAGCAACTGGATATTTTAACCAACCAGACAAATGGCTTTGTAATAGGAACAAAACTATTTTTAAATTAAACAAAAAAACATACTGTCAGAAGTCATTTTCATGAGTTATTTTTCCATAAAGAACACATTGTGTGCCAATACTGCACAAAAGCAATTCCTATGATCCTTGAAGTTAACTGTTCAACTGAGGAAAATCAATTGATTTTTTACTGGCAAATTTAGTTTCTCAGAGCAACAGTGGACGGAGTAAACAATGAATGACCACAATTTCTCCAGTTATAATACTGCAATAAGCTCACTCCCATGAGCATAAAAGCAAAATATCTGCATTTATATACATTTTTATATATTTACAGAAATTTTAGATAAATATTTATACCTGCAAAATATATCCTTTTATTTTAATGGCTCAGAATAAGTTCTTGACTGAAAGGCATTTGCCTTGTTGATTTGCAAAGACTCAAAGTCTATGTTTAAAAATTAAGGGTTTATTTTCTTAACTAAATATGAAGTTGAACACGGTGTAGAATTGAGAGCTCTATTTCTAATGTAAAATAATTAAGAAATCTTTTTCAACAGCTTTTTCTTTCTCACCCACTCCTAGCACATTGCAATCCAATCAATTTCAGTGGGTTATTTTAAACTCCAGAAAGGTCCTCAACTTGTATTTTTAGATTTTATCCTTAAAGTGCTTCTCTACAATGTCCTTACGTAACCAACCAGTGGTTGAACTCAGAAAGTAACCTGATTAATATACTTGCTCAGAATATTTATTTTAGAGTTTCTGGAGACCTCATGATACTGCCAAGGAAAAAAAACACACTTGATATGTATCAAGTAACTTCAGAGTACCATATTTTGTCTCATCATATACAGGCTCTTATTTCAATTCTGGTATTTGTCAAAGAAGTACCACACCAACAACCACACATTTTCAAAATTCCAGTTCAACAACAACTGAAAAAACAGTTTGCATCACTGACATTGTAGCATAAACATATTCTGCTCATTCGTATGTCTGCCATTTTCCTTTTATTTGAACAAAGCAAAAAACGGAGAAAAATCTCTCTTTTAAAATTACACAGCTCAACTGGCAGATTAACAATGTAAAACAGTTGGGGGAAAAAAAAACCCTACTTTATCAAAATAGAAGGGGTTTATAGCAACAAGTAAATTCTTACACAAGTACTGAGATAAAATCAGCTTCTGTATATAAAACAACGTAAGTCAAATTGAGTTGCACTACTGAGTAAGATAAATCCATTTTCTAAAATCATCACCAAAGTGTTGATCATTACAGGAACAGGACTGGGTTTAGAGAAAACTGTTCCAACTGAATTCCCAGTACTCACTTTCTCCACAAGCTGTTTTGGCTCAGTGTTTTAATGCTATTTTAAATTTCTTACATATCTCTTTAAAAATAAGTTTGAAAAAGATTTCTACTTAAACACAAACAATCAGAAAGTAAATTGGAGTCCCTTCCAATCACTTAATTTTCCTATTTCTATAAAATAACTTTTCAATAAAAGGCAGAAATAAAAAGACAATTCAGGATAATCTTCCCTTACATTTTCTCAAATTATATTGAGTCATCCACCTACTTTCCTCTTGAAGGTCCAGGAATAAAAAAGGAAAGGAAAATATTTGGACATTTACATAATTAAAAACAAAACAAAACAAAAAACCACACAAAACCCAAAGCTTTGCTGAGTTTTGAAACCACCTTGCAGAAGCCAGATTATTCAATGTCATATAAAGACATACCTTTTTATCATATACATCTTGCCAGTTTACTCCAGCAAAGAAACTATGACGCATTATTTCTTTTGCATCATCTGGGCCTCCACCAAGTCTAAAGAGAGTGGGAAAAAATCATATTAAACAAGTGTTACTCTTAAAGGGAGATTAGTTATTGTAATAAATGGAGAAGTTACCATTTGGTTTCGACTATCTGGCAACAATTCTCACCCATTTAATACGGAATTCTCACCCAATTAATATGAATTCAGGTGATCCCGAGAGAAAATGTGATAGCAGAATTATCCATGCCATGGTCTATTCTATTTGATGAATCCAACTACAGTGTTCATTAGTGTCCATGATGAGCTTTTTAAATAATTCATTCATTTTAAAAACATACTTAAGTTTAGTTTTCTTGAAAGACCAACTAACGTTCTGGCACTATTAAAAACCCAAACCAACCCAACAATGCTGACATAAAATTTTGCCAAGGAGGTGCCAAGCACTGAATCAATAATGACTCACACATCATTTTTATACAGTGTTCACTGCTGTTGCATCTGGGTGCTGTAACAATTAACCAATTACCATAAAATAGTCTCAATCTGAGTCAATTAGTATAAATTAATAAATTGTAGGCCTGCTGAGAAAGTTATTTAAGGGCCATTGTAAATAACCACACTATTCACTGTGGCCCATAGCTTGCCAAAACCAGACTCTGGCAAATCATCTTAGGAAGTGAATTCCACCTACTTTGGGTGTACTTGCCCAAGGTGATTTGAGCTCATGGAAGTGGTCACTGCTGCCAAAAGAGGAAGATCCCACCCCTGCCCATACCTCTTCCCTCTTACTTCCATCTACAGCATCATTCCCACTGACGACTGTGAGCTGAGTCTAACACTAACCTGTTAGAAAGCTAACTCCACAATGAGAAAACATTGGCTGGTTTTTGTTGTATTAGCAAGTAAAATTTGACTCAACAAGTTTAGTGAGCTCCCTTGAACTGCTGCTGTGGTGGAAAAAGAACCACACATCCAGTGAAGGGAATCTCTGCACCTTTCAAAAGCACATGGACTTCCAGGACTCCTCAGCTCTCATCTAAGTTCTTCCTGAAACTGGCTATCCTACTGGTCTAACAGAAAGGAGTTGCAAAAGAAAAAGAGCTAATCTTAACCGAACAAGCAGTCCATACATGCTAAACATTGAAAAGAAGAGTAACACAAGTAGTTTGTGTTTCATTAAAGGGAACTGCTAAAAATACAAAGAAAAATATTAAAAGCAATCTTTTAAGTAAGATAAATCCCTTTCTAAAGCATTTATTGCAAGAAGCAATAATTTCTACAACCAAGGGAAAAAAAAACTGTATTGGTATTACCCTGCTGTCAAATTACAAAAACATTCTGGACTACTACCTCAGTCTTGCAGCAACTGAGTATAAAGTCATTCTTATTTCCAAGCTGCATTCCTCTTTGTTTCTCAACTACTCATTGTAAAATTCTGTATGGCTCTGCTAAGCATCCTAGTCAGCCTGCAGTCTTCAGACTTCTTTCAGTACCTTCCCATCCAGCTGCTCAGAGAAAAGCTGAATTGCAGTTAACCTCTGTGCTCCCACCCCAGTTAGCATTGGCTAGCACCAGAACTTGAATACAAATAAGCTTGTAAATCTAAATCTGTAATGAACACTACTGTCTGCAAAGATTAATTAGAAGGAAGTCTCTTTTTCAGTTCTAAAGGTTAATATATTTGATGGTTCAGACTACTTGGAGGTTAAAATGCATTAGGAGTAGCTCAAGGAACAAATTTTTACTTCACTCTCCATGTATTTGGCTGGTCGGTCACAGTTTGCTTTTGCCACATAACAGTGAATTCAGTTGAACTGGCATTGCTGGGCAGCAGCACAGAGGCCGATGGCTCGTGCTGCCCTGGCTGCTGCACTAGGCTGCGAGCAGGCAAATCCCTCGGAGACACAGCAACCAGCCCTGCCCACTACTCAAAACTTCTTCAGAACAAACTGAGGGTGAAGGAGGACTAGAGAAGACAGACAGACAGAAAAATGCCTACAGCCTTAAAACACGCCAAGAGACTCGCAAGAACAGAGGGACTGAGGAGAAGAGAGGACCTATAGACAAATCTCACTGATTTACAAAGACGGAGATTTGTTTTAGAACCAGAAGGGACTGGACACTGCTAGTCCAGTGCAGGAGACACTGGAAAATGGCTCTCCTAGGCAATAATCCCAGAGGGAAAGGCCCACCACAAAAGGGCACAGGCAGCATCTAGGTGTTATTTGCTTTCAGACCACTGTATTTAAATTTCACTCAGAAGATTTATTCTTTAACAAGTTTTTACTTTGCATGGTTTAATATGTGATCTATTTAAATGTACAAATAAAATTTATCTGTGGCTGTCTATACACGTCTTCTGGCATAATGACTTTGAAGAAAAAATGGTGTAGTCCCTATGAGACATTACAGCCAAGTCAGGGTTAAGTCATACTCTGAAAAAGTATTTAGAGCTTTCCCTTTGTTCCAGTACACAATCTAAACCTGAAAAGATCACTGTGTTTGCTGTGACTGATTTAAAAAGTGTTCTCTTTCACGTGCTTTTTCCCCTTTTGCTTGTTAAACACTCTTTGTATATCGTTGCCATATTGAAAAAGTGGAAATCTGAGACAGTATGGCTGCATATGGCCCTTTCCTGGGACTAACAGGTCCTTCAGCCAGGAAGACCAGGCACCACTGGCCTATTTTTACATTACCCAGCATAATTCAAGTATTTATTATGCCTGGATACCCAAGTAATTTCGCTTACCGCTTATTTGGATCCTTTATCAGTAGACCTGATAGTAACGATTTTGCATCTGCAGACAGAGTTCGAGGAAATTTTATGTCCTCCATTAGTATCAGTTCAAATAGTTTCTCATGGTCTTGGTTGTAGAATGGTAATCTTCCACACATCATTTCATACATGACAACTCCTAATCCCCACCAGTCCACTGCACGACCATAGTCATTGTCTTCCAACACCTAAGACAGAAACCAAAACCAGCTGTAAGACACGCACTATTTCAGACACAATCACTTCAGTCTATTTGATACACCTCTATATGAATGTGTTTCCAAGACTGTATTTTCACAGTGTGCTACAAGGACTCCCAGAACCTGGCTCAATATAAGCAACTGCAGTACTGACCCAGACACCTGAGCTCACTGAAATTCCAGACATACCAGGGACTGTACTCCTAAAAGCAAAATCTAAAACTGTAAAAAACCTGCTCAAGATTATCATTACTGCCTTTTCCCCTTTCCTATGCCCTCTCCCACACCATTTCTAGTGTACACAGTTTTAGGAAGAGACATTTCATCTACAGGCACTACTGCCTCAGTTAGCACTCTTCTGGGAAAAAAACTGAAGTATCTCCTTTCTCAGTCTCCTCCTCTCTCCTCACCCCACCTGTAAGAATAAACCCTCAAATTTAGAAACACCTTAATCTTACTAAGATAAGCTTAGCTTCTTTATGATCTTTGTTTCTATTAAAAGTTCTGAATGCATTTCTCCTGACAGTTTCATTAGTAATCCAAACAGCTAAATTATGCTAATGCAAAGAAATATGACAATGTTTACATGATACTATGTTTACTATGACACTATGTTTATATCATAATATATGATCACAGAAATACAGTGACATTCATATCATTTGTTAACATAATGCCTCCAGTGTTGTGTGCCTAAAAACAACCCACTGCACAGCCCTTCTCCCAGCAGCCTCAGAGAACTGGAATAAGGAATCTAAACAGTGTATCTTGACCTTAATACACCTTCATATTAAACTGTACAAATGGAGACAACATAACAGCAGCATACATCTATAATGAAAGCATAAGCAATAAGGAAACTGAAGGCTACTGAATATGTACATATATAATTCCAATTTCTGTGAATTTCTAGATGATCATATCCTTTCACTCCAAAAAGACAGAACAGTTAGAAGTTAATAAAAGGCAATAAAGAAGGCACTACAACTGTATGTGCCAAATTGACAATATTTGCTGCAGAATGATCTATTAAGAAGGCAAAACCCTTAAAACAATAAATTAGACATAAATAATAAACAGTTATAAAGATCAAAGAAACAACTAATACAGTTGGACTATATAAAGAATTAAGCAATTCTTTATAAAGAACTGTTTCTGTATCATTAAAAGGCAGATTCTCAACGGCAGCACATACGACTGATTAAAAATTTTAAAAACCCAAATCAGAAAACAAGATATTTTTTACAACACACAGACACATACAGTCACCACTACCAAGAGCTCACCCAGATTCAAACTGTAGGTAGACACACAGGAACAGTAATTTATATATATAGTAGTGGAAATCTGGTGATGTGTAGTAAAGCCCTCAGGCTTTGATGAATAAGGCAACCTCTAACAGAGCAGAAAAAAACCTTTTTTCATGAGTACATTATCTTGTGATTGTCTAAAGAGTGCATGATGACTGCCAATAATTTCCTCTGAAGCAAGGGCAGATACAATCCTCACCCATGTGGGGACACCATCATAGGACACATGCACTACCCTCGCCAGTCCTAATGAGGGGTGTCAAGCTCACTGATCTGCCTCTCCTTCCCGCCCTCCACATCCCTCAGTAAACCCAACCCTGCTCTGAAGTATCTGGTACATGCTATTAGCAGAAACAAAATGCAGTCTGATCCAGTATGGCAATTTTGACAATCCCACAGCAATTAATGCATTCATATTCCTAATTTTCACTGTCCTTAAGGATTAGTAGTAGAAACACGAAGAAAAGAAGTGTATCACAAATCCCTCTTGTGTATATAAGATTAAAAAATCATAAATATTAACACATTAGCACATACTATTTACAACCGTGCCAAAACACACAGACTCGTTACATCATTGGTATTTCCAAATAGAGGGTGAAATTTTGGAAAGTGTAAAATACAACAAATTATCTGAATAAGTACATATGACAAAACTAACTAAAATAACTCCTGCGTTTTAAAATTAATTAAATGTTTTATGAGTTTGAGCATATTGCAAGCTATTTGCTGAAAAACTGTATATGAAATCTGGGACACTTGTCTTTAAATCACCCTTTCTTCTGCCACGGAATAAAAGCATTATATATTTTTCTACTATAGCTATTAGCATCGTTACCATTTCTGCTGTTTGTACAGTGAGCTATTCTTTCCTTTTGAAGCTAGTACAATATATAAAACTGCGAGACAGTGGGAGATTATTTTTACAAGTAAATTGAGGTGTGGTTTGCATGTGAGATTTATAAAAGAAGGCAACAGGAAGATAAAATGTGTCGTTCTCTGAACAAGGCAAATCGCATGGCCAGTAGCTAAAGCGGACTGTATCTGGGGCTTTACCTAATTTATGCAGGACTTTACCTAATAATAATAAAAAGTATGAACAACCTTTTGCTGCATTCCCACAACAGCAACAAAACAGTGGTACAAAGAAAAGAGCCAAATGTGATTTTTAACCTCTTTTTACATAAAATCATAAAAAAGCATAAAAGCTGGATTAACTGCCTCCCGAACCCACATATCACCAGCCGGGTTCTCATCCCCAGCTGGCAAAACTGGCAACTCTTTATTTTTGTTTAAATACCTGGTTTACAGCCAGCCAGACAAGCAAGAGCATCAAAAGGGTTTCATTTAGGCAAAAGGAAAACAGCCTGAAAATAGTGTAAATAAAGCAAAATGCATCTCAACTTATTTTAATATAAATGTAATAAAATTGTGCATAATGCATTCACAGTAAATACACACATTTATTTTCTTTAAGTCATTTCTGCACCTCATGGTGTTAAGAAACTCCAGGATTTGTAGACTGTGACAAATCAATGGAAGTGCTGGAGTCCAGCAGCTCCCACGACCAAATCCATATAATTAGGGCAAGCATGAGAACATGTCTACACACACTGCCCCAGCATTACAGAATCCTTTCCAAACAATTCTTGGATTTGAGGGATTTGTTTTTAATTACACTGAACATAGGTCAAGAAAGCTCCAACTCAGTGCTAAAATGAACATGACACACAGCTGCAGGCTTTGGACCTATTGATAGTTCAACCTTTTGCCTACTGTGAGGTGGATACCTGCTTTTAGAAACACCTCCTTTGGCTGTGAGGACCGATAGTGCTGTCCCTCCAGTATTTGTGGGGCATCCTTGTACATGAGGGGTACCAGCCTAAGCACCTGACCAGCCACAGGCACAGTGGAAAGTTTGATCTCTTTGACTTTGTATCCTGCCCTTAAAAGCTGCCTCCATCATCTGCAGAGAATTCCTGTACCACCCCCCCCTACCCCCCTCATAAGGGTTTCTGGAAGGTATTATCAACAATGACCAAGTACACGATGGGACAGTGTTTCATACACACAGTAAAGACCAGCAAGCCCTACATACAAAATAAAAAATTCAGTTCACAGCCTTAGCTTTGCCTTTGTGATGACTAAGATGACACAAACACAATGCAGTGCTGCTAAAATCATGGTAATTCAGTTGTGTTTTACCCTCACAGATAACAATTCATTTTGCTGACAGGAAACTACAGATCAGAAAAAAAAATATTGTATTTGCATTTATTGACAAAAAAGCAATCTTCTAATATTACTCTCCACTCCTGAAAAGTCCAGTGTCTTGGACTCAAAAATATTAATTAAACTCATTAGAAGCTTCCTCTTTCCCAGCAAACAAAACCCATTAAAAAGACTTCCTCCTCTACTTCAACAGTGGTTGTAGCTTTTAATCTTTAGGCCATCATATCTCCAGGTGTTCTTCACTTTAAGTTTGTCACTCCTTTAAAGAGCCTAACACACAGTCCACAGAATTTGATGTCAATTTAATTTTTATGGTGAAAACCAGTGAAAAGATACCTTTTATTATATAGGTTCTTTATTTCTTCAGTAGCTAGAGCTGAAAGTTTTCTGGGAGGTGGCAGCTTGAGACACATCTGAAAACTCTTATTTACAAGGGCTTGGGGCAGAGACTTAGGAAGCAGGCAATTAAATGAGTCAGCCAAAGAGAAGTCAGTACAAACCCATGCAATGCTTTTACAAGATTCTGTAAAAACAAACTTTTTAGGAGGCTAGCCAGCAGTGTAACAGGTGAGGTCTGTGACCATCTTAAGTCAATCATGTATTTCCTCTTGCCTTCAGTGAAACTAGGACTCTCTGATATCTCACTAAGCACAGAATAGTGGACAAGGTGTGACTGCCTCAAACACAAACTGAGCTGAATGTAGAAAATCCCTTAATTCTGTTTTTACTGCATTTTCTTGAAACAAAACATCCCTGAGGAGCAGCCTCTGGAAGATTTTTGGTTACAGATCAGAAATTCACACAAGCAAGAAACTGCCTTCCCACAGACCTCTAAATAGTAGTTGCTGTTAACTTCTGGACTCTACAGATACAGAAAAATTTAGCAATAACCCTGAGCATGAAAGGCTTCATACAATTCATTGTCAATATATACAAAGGGTTATCAGCACTGGGTTTTATCTTTAAAAGAACAATATCAAAAGATAGATTTTGTACTTTGAGCTAGGCAACTTATTGGAAAAGCAAATACAGTTTTGACCTAGCTGGTTTTTACATTAGATAGAGACTTTCTGATAGGACCTTACAAATAGCTTGTTGCTCAATCAATAATTTTGACAGAACAGATGGGAAAATATTTAAACATCTAAACAAACCGTCTGCGCACCTATGTTGTGAAAGAAAACTGAGAACTTGGATACACCAAGGTACTGTTAATTTAAGGGGAAAAAACTGTTTTCAATTAACCTTACAGTTGAGGTGGCGTGTATATTCCTTAAGCATTCCTGGTAACCCTTCACACATTTTTAACGCTGCAGTTGTTGGTCTGCTAACAAATATTCACCCACATATTATTCAACAAAAGTTAAAAACTATTATTTGCTAGAACTTTCTGTCAATTGTGGTAACAACTGCAACAATGAGAAAGTTTATAATCTAACACTAATG